TACACCGGCTATGCTGGCTGACAGCCAGGAGAAGTACGCCGGGACCACCCCTCAGTTGTTCGTAAATCTGGTCTGTCGCTCAGGGCTTGCGTGCTTCAAGCTCGGCGGAATTGTGCATTGTGCAGTACAAGATCCTAGACACGAGACAGGAGTCGTGTAGCAGTACAGCCTATCGGCAGGAAATTGGCACATTCAACCGAGGACGGGTCAGGTGTTCGTGCTCGCCAACGTAGCCGATCAGGCTGCCTTTGTCCTGGGGCCTGCAGCAGGCAGCATCATTAGCCAGCACGCGACTTGGTAATCTTCAATAGCTTCTTGCTTTGCATGAGCATTTCCCAAATCTCAAGTATAGAGTTTAGACTTCGGAGCGTCTAGAAACATTGGCGAATGCGGAATACCTGCCTATAGCGTCACTGACACTCCAAACAAAGGGGCGGGAATGGGACCTGATCGGCCTTCTGGATGGGCTGTCACCAGACCATGAATAATTAGACTCCCCTGTGTACAATTGCTCTATGCTGTAACTCTGAGGCTGCAGGTTAGCAACGCAGGTCCCACAGTCTGGCGTAACGAAGCATTGAGGATAGAGTCGGGTTCAGATTCGTGAATTGTTCATGAAGGTGAGCTTCCCTCTCATGTGCCAAAGCTTTGGCGGGTGTCTGGTGCTTTATGGTCTGCTCTTGCCTCTCTGCATCTTCTTTGGGAGGTGTTTATGCAGTGTTTTTTTTTTTATATGTTCAGCTACACAACCCCTAGAAAGTCATTCTGATCATATTTTTTCAAATGGTCTTGCCAAATCTCAAGGTCAATGTCCACATTTTGGGGGAAACCCCAGCCTGTGAAGTCTGGCACAAGCTCAGACGCAGATGCATCCTATGAAGCTTCCAGCACGTAATCTTCCGGTTTTGGGCTGCCTCCCCATGCTTCAACCTACAAAGCCTGAACCTGAAACCCAGTTGCCTTTACTCGCGGGACCGGAAGCCAAAGCTTGTGGTGTGGATTTGCATTTTAGGAGCGTAGTTCTGCAGACTTGTCATGTGTCGTATAGGACTTTGAGTGTATATTTTGGAATTGTAATCAAGTCTGCCGTTTAGTTATAGGTGGTGGCGTACGCTTCGGCGTTCTCATGTCAAACACTACCAAGAGCCCGGGGTACGTTCCTAACTACTTCCAACCGCAGCAAACCATAGGCCAGCAACGTGTGTATTCCACTTCACGCAATGGACTTCCAACACAAAATATTCTTGTTGTTTAGGGTGGTCAGGTTTGTATTCTGCTAAGATCAACAGACGCATTCTGAGAAGCCGTCTCAAGGAGGGACCTTGGCAAAAGACTTGGAAAAAGGGGATCAGTTAGCTTGCTTCACGCTCCATGGAAACAGGAACTTGCTCCCTCTGAGCATGCCCTGGACCTCAAATTCTTGTGCATATGTAGGCAAGTTTATGGATGCCCAGATCTTGTGCATTCGCGGAACTGTTCTATCGTCCACTCAAGAAACGGAGACGTGAGACAATGAGTGGAGGCCAGGCAAGCGAGATAAGATGTGGATGACGAGTCATGAGAGACGCGTCACGGGAGAGTCACAAGAGACAAGTCAAGAAAGACAAGACGCAGGAGCAGGAGGCAAGACATGGAAAGGAGACGTGAAGCTTGTGCTGACGTGCGCGCCCCCTTGTGGTAATCGCAAGAGTATGCACGAGGTACAACGTCCGAAATTGAATGAAATTGGTCAGAGTTGACTGTCCACCGCGCAGCGTCTGGGGTTCAAGGCAGATACATGTAGACAGTTGTGAACCTCAATTTTGCGATGGACGCAAGTTGACAGATCAGTGATCTAGGTCTGGCATGGTTTGGCTATACTGCACCTAATCTTTGTCAGTCGTTTCTGCAAGTAGCCTCACGGCGGCCATGCCGGTTTGCTGGACATTAGCATCTGGTTGTTTGGGCCTCCTGCTTTTGCCCAGACTGCTTATCGTCCGAAGCCAAGAGGCCTTTGCCTGCTTGCCGGTTCCAGAAACACATCACAACATAACATGACCTCATGGCTTGAAGCAGCTTGAAGCCAATAAAGCTATCCCCGTGCCTTAGCCTACGGCACGGCAACCCGAACTGAGTTTGCTAAGTAAGAGGCCTAGAACAGTCTATTTTCGTGCCCATTTCTGTTGTGGTCATGCTTCTGTTAGACTTGCCTTGTAAAAAGCTTCTGGCAAAGTGTTTCCTGCTAGTCTTCGGGGACCCAATACAGAGAGCTCCTGCAAGAGACATCCCGTTCTTCCAAAATCCAGGAGGCAGAGAAGCACCTCAACAATCGCCCCGAGTGCTGGGCGGATGGCGGTGATTGCGAGGACCCAGGCTGGGGTCTTTTGCGCCTTTTACTTTTCCCAGGCTTGGGCACGAGCAGAGAGAGGAACCCGAACGAGCCAAAGGTTTTCAACCAGACAGATTTTGCGAGATAGTAACGAGGGTCCAGTGGCTAAGGATTGCGTCCCGTAGGAGGTGCCGGGTTGGCAAAAAGACTTGGTGGCTTGGCACCTTGCATTTTCCTAGCGCGGTTGGAAGACAGTGGAAGGATGAAGCCTGTCTGGCCACCGAGAACAAGGCATGCTTGTCCTCAGCTCAAAACTCGCTCAGGAACGGTATTGTCCGCGCAAGAATCTGACGCGAATCTGCACTCCCTTTCTGCTGCACGGTTTCTTCCACGCGGCAGGGCCTCGAGGTTGGTGGCGCGACTCCCAAAACTGCCCCTCCAAAGGAGGCGTGGGAGAGCCCTTCCTGCTGTTGCTACGCAGGAGGGCAGCGCCAGTCGCTCGGGCCGCAAATCTCGTAAAAGAGCATCGGCTGGCTGCGCAGCAGCTTCCAGGTCCGGAGCAGGTACTGCTCAGTTACTGCTGCTCGTCTTTTCACTGGTCCCAGTCGCAGCCCCCCCTTTTCCGAAGCAGAGATGGGGGAGTTGGCTGAGACCTGTCTTCGGGCTTGGTCGAGCTCCTGTACTGGTACGTTGATTTTGCGCCATGTTTGTTCATGGCTCCCCCAAACTCAAAGCAGGCCCACAGTATATATCAATGTTGGACCCTCTTTTTATACAGGGTCCCCACCCCGGAACAATACATTATTCGCTCAAATACGGAGCCACCCCTGAGATTGACGGATCGCATGTTTTCGTCTAATCACGAAAAGGCGGTTTATGTGGAGCTGCAGGCTGGCGCCTCCGAGTTAACGCTCTTGCGTATTCTCTCATATCTGCCCTCCTTGGTGAAGGCTCAGGGCCTTTGACATTTAAACCAATCCTGTTATTTTTCGGGCGGCTGGAAAAATGTGTTCTTCTTCCAGGAGCCCTAAACAATTGCTTATTGTGGATCCAGGCCTCTGCTGGACTAACCCCTCACAAAAAATTGACAGATCGTATGTTTTCACATAATCCAGAGTAATCGGTGTTTATGGTCTCTGCTATCAGGCCATATAGGTCAAGCTCTGGTAATAAAGCTCCAGAATTCAAATCCCCTGAGGCCTGAGGTGCACGCAAATCGCACTTGACAGAATATGTACGCCGGTCAAATGTCGCCCCTGGTGAAGCAGTGTCCCACGCACCACCAAACGAGCCCGAAAAGGGTTTCTGCAGTGAGTAACCTGGCATCCCCATCCACGTCCACGGTCTCATCGAGCTTGCGAAAGGATCGAAAGCCGAAGCCACCAGGTTGTTTCCAACCTGTTCCACCTCCACCTTGGGCCCTAACCACCGGAGCCTTCAACTAGACTGACTAGATGAGACGCCAGAACGAACTTTGCACATCCTACACACCCTATACCTGTCCTTCAACCATGACGATCATCTAACCTACCTCCTTTTGCCAAGAGAAGCCAGCCTCGGATAGGCTCGGGCTCGTCTCGTATTCCTGAGGCTTGGGGCTTCTACAGCATCGCCATGATCTGGACAAGAGGCCCAACATCCTGCTGGCAGGGCGTTTGAAAAGCCGGAGTTTCATGGTTTGTGGGTTTTTGTGCTTAGGTTGTGGAACGCAAGGTTGACTAAGGTTGCACAACATATCCTGAAACACATCAAAAGTAGATTTGGTAGACGCAGGAATGCTTGATAAAGGTGATGCAGGGACTTTTAAACCTTAAGGGTCTACTAAACGTTCCCTGAGGGGAACTTTACTTAGGATGAGACCACGCCCGGATACATAACTGTTTTTGCAGCTCGAACGGTTTCGTCTGGCTAATGCTCTACGTCATTCACCTCTTGTGCTCCGAGGTATCTGGACTTAAACGAGGTGACGACAGCTTTAGCGGGCCTGGGCGAAACCGCTATCCTCGTCCCACGCTTGCCCGTACTTACTCGTAGTGAAAAACAAGCGTTTTGGAATGTGTTTTTGCTGTGTTTCTTGGTGAAGTTTCCAAGAATGAGGCTTTTGTCCCACGCCTGTCAAAGCTTCATCATCTGCAATTTCGTGTGTTGTTCTGCGACACACGCGGTTTTTGAGTTTTGGGGCCTGTTTGCTGAGACTTTGCGAGGTTTGCATTTTACTCACGCCAGCCAGTTCCTCGAGCATATCATGATGTCAAAGGAGCATTGGAGCATTCTCAGACACGAGCCAGTTCATGTGCTAATTCTGTTGACATTTTGGCGGATCGTGGGAGAGTAATGTGCTAACGACACTTCAACCTATTGTTTGTATGCAGATTGTACGCTCTAGAGCCTGTCGCGATTGCTGACCCTGTCGTGTTTGCTTTTTTTTAGGCAACGTACGCCTTTTTGGATATGCGCGTTTTGCCAAGATTTTGTGAGCTTTGCATTTCATCCCACGTTGGTTGGTGTTTTGCAGCATGTCGTGATTTCAAAGGCCGAATTCCGAGCAATAAAGCATACTCAAGCACAAGTCGGTTTAGTTGCTGGTTCTTCTGATTTTGGAGTTGCGGCGGCTGGTGCTCGAGCATGTCACGTGTACAGTTTGAAGATTTACAACTTATGTAATTATTCCTCCCCCGCACTAGCCCTCGCCATGCATCCAGCCCCCCAACCTAAGAATTTCGACTGAAGCCGTTGAGGCCCTGAAAAAAGGCAAACAGGCAGTAACTCCACCGTTTCGTCCAGGACTGCTGACGCTGGCGTGCGCTTAAGCAAGGACTAGTAGACAGAAGAGCTGAGATATCCGGTCGAGCGACTAAGGGAGCTAGAGAATTCTAAAGTCAGGGCTATCCCTCTTTGTGGGTTTGCCTGCCTCCTTACTGAGTTGATTGGCCGTTGAACCTGATTGCTGAAGACATCTCGAGCGGCCGCAAGGCCTTAAGGTAGCTTTTCAACCAGCAAGCAAGCCAAACTTCTGCAGCACACATGCAATCATGAAGCTATTCCCTGGTTGACCCTGAAACACAGGTTGTCTTTGACCAGTGGCGGGCTGACTGGGATGGGTTCGGGGAGGCAAACGTGAAGCTTCCCAACATCCATGCGCTGGCGAACAAGGGCGTCCGATTCACCAGGGCCTATGAGACTCATTCGGAAGTTGGGGAGCTTTTGAGCTTTGATCGTTCATGGCCTTCGTCCCACGTATGGTTTCCGACTATGGCAGGAGCGTGTCTCACGGTGGTCTGGGTTCGGCCTGTTTGAGTGTTTCCCAAACTGTGTGTGGAACAGGGTGCGCGCAGACATCTGCTCCATGTCTTGATCCGTAGCGTATGGATCATCGAGGGTTTGCCAGTTCCATACACCCTCATACCAAAAGCTTTATACACAGCGACGTATCGTGATCCAAGCGCTGAGAGGCCTAGGTTTGAGGGATCACCCATTGTATATGCATATATATATATATATGTACACACATACAACGCTTTATCATACATGCTCAATGCGTGCTCGTATTCTCCAAAGATGGGTAGAAGTATCCACATCAAAAGAGTTTCAAGGGAGAAGCTTTCGAATGAAACTAAGGCGGCGTCTCCGGCCTGCTCACCATCACGCGCGGCTCTGGTGCTTGGGCGGGAGTTCCAGCATTCTCCAGTCAAATATAACCGTGACAAGTACCTGACGACTTCCGAATCTGGACCATTCTTGAAGCAAGTTTTCCAGGGGCTGAACCCTGTAGCTAGACACAGCAGGTTTGAAAGTTGAGGTTGAGGCGGGCTGATAGAACAACCAAGGGATGGCAGCCTCACATACACCGGACTTTCCCAACTCTTCTGAGAGACCTGGCTATTTGTACGCATGCTTTTCTCTTCATGCTCCATCACGTATTCCCTCCCCGTGCCAGGACGAAGCAGCCAGGCAGTGATTTCTGGACTAAGGAAATGCTGGCTACTTGACATTCTCAACTGGCAAAGATCACTTGGTCAGCGTTGAGAGCAAGAACATGGATGCAGACATGAGCTTAGTAGGCTTTGACTATTACCGCCGGGTGAATGACAAATACCTCCTGTGCGAGTATGCAAACGACAACTATACCAATTACTTGCAGTCGCGTGGTATGTTGAGAGAATTCTGCGTGTCGAATGGCCAGTTTGGTCAGGGCTACACCTGCAACTCTACTCCAGTCTGCGACAATTACGACTTCACGGAGTGCGGTTTCCGCTGCCAAAGGCCAGCATTCCGTGAGGGCATGGACGTTGACACCTGGACGCGCCAGTCTGCACAAGACTTACTTGACGAGCATTGGCGAGAAAGTGGCCAGCCATTCTTTCTTCAAGTGCCTGGGAAATCGAGAATGCCTATTTTCTTTTAGCCATATGTAGATCAAACCGACGAAGAGGCTAGCACAAATCGGAAAAGCCTGGTGTTGGTGTTGGTTTTCTTGGCTAGCTAGCCTCAAGCTACTGCTGCCAAGGTTAATTTTCCCAGCCCTCATCCACCCTTGGCCCTACCTGCCGGAAAGCTGAAGAACCGGCGCCTTGGCTATTTAGTTTGCCGATGATAATCTGAGAAGTGCCAGTGTACCCTTTTGCCGATTACTTGGTCACAGTCAACATACCTCCAAGTAGACATGCTGCGAAAGGACCGGATGTAAGCTTAGAACCGAGGATGATGAACCTTCCGAAAGCTATTGATACCGCGGTGCCTTACCACTGGATGTTACGAAATGGCAGTCTTCTCAGAATCCCAAAGCCGTCCCTCGAGTTCAGCAACTTCACTGAGAGTCGAGCAAATTACGCCGCTCTCCTGGAGCTGCTTGACAGCGAACTTGGTCAGCTGCTGAACTTCTTGGAAAGTGTCCGGGACTTGCGAGACACAATCATATTCCTGACAAGCGATCATGGAGAACACCTGGGAGATCACGGAGAGTGGTCGAAATTCAGCCCCTGGGAGGTGTCCAATCATGTTCCTTTGATAGCATCAGGGCCCGGCATCCTCTCGGGCCGGGTCGAGACGACGCCAGTGTCCATCATTGACTTAGCCGCAACTTTCTTGGATTTGGCAGGTCTGCAGCCAGCCCCCTGGATGGATAGTCGCTCACTGATGCCAGTTCTCTCAGGCTCAGGTGGGACTACAATTAAACAATCCTGCGCCAAAAGGTTGGCCAGGGCTTGTTGGTGGGGAGTCAGTGCGCGGACATCTTCTCAGTTCAGCGTTCAGGGTGAAGTAGTCTCAGCCAGATCTGTGGTTGAGCTTGGGAAAGCACGTGCTGTTGCCAGGACATCAGTTGAAATGTTGAAGGAGATAGTCGAGAAAGCTTCCCTAGCTTTCAAGGTGCATAGGGGCCTGGCATGCTTTCAGCGTATGATTTTTTGGACAGGTGGTTCCTACTCACGGACAAGCTTTCTTCAGGTTCCTGCCAAAAACGTCTGAACGCCCTGAAGAGGTCCAGCTACCAGATCGGTGGTCCTCAGCGGATTCATTGACGACATTGAGGCCTCTCTGAAAGAATCGCAGCAGCCGTTTTTCTTCGAGGCGATGGTGTTCTAATGAAGGGGGCCCAGCCGCTGCCACGACTCTGGAGTTACAGGGGCTGTAGAACTGACACAAGCGAATTCAGTCTATAGACACCGTACCTCAGACTACCTCAAGGAATGACAAGGCTACCATAAAGCTGGAGACAGAATAAGGGACGGCTCTCAAGGGCTCCTGCCCAAAGTGTTTCAACAAGGGCTGGTTACCGCTTTGCATAGCGCCAGGCGGCCGCGTCACTTTTCAACACCTCCATGCTAAAGCTGGTGCCTGTGCTCATGAAAGAGTCGTGGTCTGGGCTCCTTCTTGCAGGGATTGATGCGATTCAGGACCTCCTCGGTCCTGATAGTGAAACATGAAGAAACACTATTCATCTCTGTAGTAGGAAGCTTGGAAGGGTTGGGAAGCTCTGCATCATCACACCGAGACAAGACGTGGAACATGATGAACTCAGCACGAAAGGCTCGGCTTCCAGCAGCAATCTGCTTTTGCAAGACGTTGACCAAGTTTTGTTTCCTAAGGCCTTGCCTAGTGACTTGCACTGATGGCAGTAGCAGCCTTCGTAGCCCTTGCATGGATTCGGGTCCTTCACCTTGAGGCGGTTCACAGCTTTGCATGGGCGACTTGAGAAACAGCACGCTTTCTGTTGACGCAGTGCCAGTACCATTATTTGCAGCTCTCGCTGGTCATTTAGCTGGCCAGGACTCTTGTACCCTGAGCTTTGAGTCCCAACTCGTATGGCTGATGAAGCCTTCCCTGAGCCAGCATCCCAGGTGTGCTGTCCAATGGGCTGCGTCAAGCAGGGCACGATGCTCCCTGTGAAGCTGGAGCCGGGCGTTTGAAGAAACCACATGAAAGGTGAAAGGTCATGTAAGGTCCTTTTCTGAGCCTTCATAACCGGGGATCCCATATCCAGGGAAGTTGCTGCATGTATCCCCCTTCCCATTACCTCTGTAGAAAGCCCGTCATGTAGGTACCGTTCAAAACACGTTTCAGTTTAGTTCCAAGGGTTATCTGGGGCCTCGCGCTTTACAGTGAGGAAGGTGTGGGGAAGGCAGTGAAGCCCCTCCATTTTACAGTGCTACCGCGCTTGATTTGAAAAATCTTGCTTGTCGTTTCAGACTCCTTTGGAAAACGAGGAGGTCCCAGGATGTGGGTCTGTGAAGTGGGGATCATGTGACAATGAGTCTTTTTCTGTGCAGTATCCGCTGTGAGGCCCGATGCCATTGTCCTCAGGTAGGTTCAGGAGTGCCAGGAGTCTGTTAAATGGGGCGGGCCAAAGCAGTGTAGCATTAGGCGAAAGACTGAGAGACAGATGTCATGCCCCCCTGACAGGTCCCCATCATCATCAGCACCATCATGAGGGTTTAAGCATGTTTAAGCACTGTGGAGGGTCACCTTCCAGACATGCATGCCCTATCGATCTCAATCCTTGAAATCCAAGAAAATACAAAAACTTGCATTGAAAGGGCTCATTGTAGAGACATGCGTTAACCACTGCCCTGACCCTGAGGCCCGCATTGTAGGGCCAATTTACTTGTGACCCACCGCATAAATTGTATAATGGGGTGGAGGATTCTAGAAGCTAGTAGCAGGAGGGAGAAAACAGTGTCAAAAGAAACGCCTTCTTAAGCGTGATCGCGTTTCCCAGTCGGTTCGAGAAGCCAGCATTTTCCCCCCCGGGTTCCCTGAGCATATCAGGAGCCACAAGTGGCATTGATGAATGTCACTGCAGGCACTCGGCTGCTACTAATATACCCTCCTTATGCGAAATTGTAGACTTCTAGGACCCTCGAGAGGTGTCTCATAGTTTCAGAATGGTTGTTGGCGGTGAGACCTGGCCTAAGACCATCTCGGTTTTACATTTGGATAAGAGTTCTCAGGGGATCCATACATTTGCTCCCAAGATCTACTAGCTTCCGCCTTTTTAACTAGTAACATTGGTAGAGGGCATCCTGTCAATGCGCTTGATGATGTGGTAGAGGCTTTTGGATGCGTCCGCAGAGATCTCAGCCATGGCTGGAGGGAGCATGTGGCGGGTCATATAGCCATATATAGCCGTCGAGCGCAGAGATTGAAAACTTGTAGCAAGGACATAGTGACATAGTGCAAGTTGGTATCAGATATGTTTCAAGGATACATGTTGATCATGCAAGGAGTACCTCTTGGCTACATGCAGGAATGGGACTGAATTTTCCGAACTCTTGAAAAGGCAGATCTCGGGCACCAAGGAGCACATGCGTGGGTTGTGAGTCAACGGGATACATAATGCCTTGCCTCAACCCGACCATGCAGGCCACGGCGCTGCCAAGTTCGAGCACGACATCCTTAACAAGCCGCCTGGAAGGGGCTCTTGGGTCCTGATTTGGTTAATCCGAGGTCTTCAATTTTAGGGGGCCCACTTTACAACAACAATAAGCAATGAAGCAATGGAATTAGTAGACTTCTGAATAATTACTCCAGAGCTATGGTTATTGTCTACTATTTTCAAGAAACATGAAGACAGACCCGCTCACGCAAGCTGCACACGGGGGAGCTCAAGACTCAGGACTAGATGTTTGAGCTTGCAATTCCTAATAAACTTTAGTAAGCAAATCAGGTTTCAGAAACAGCTTTCGAAGTATATGAGTCTCGCTAAACCTAAAACCTTTTCAAAGTGAGTCCTGAGAATCAGCTCAAAAACCCAGCAACATCAAAGCAACCATCCTCTTGTTTCTTTAGGATGTGGAAATGCATTTTTTCAAATCCATGGGTTTTCGGTCCAAGAAGCCCGCCTTTTAAAGTGCTCTTTGATCCATCAAAATGGCCCAAAACTTTTTTAAAAATGAATTTCGACGGTTGTCTTAATGTTGAGCTCGGATTGCGGTTTCACGTTCGGTTCAGGATGTTTGGGCTTACAAGGCTCGCATGGCTTGCGAGCTCATGTCAAGTGCCCACCGTGTGAGGCTTTGGAGCGTGCTTAGAGCGCTTTCCTCCTTCCCCCCGGATTGCTAATAGGTGATAGCTTTTTCATTCTAAGATTCTAAGCCCCAGGTCCTACATCCTCAATTTGCAAACCAGCAATCCTGAGCCCTTGTAAGTCCTTTGTTAGTGGTCCGCGATCTGGAATTTTGTGTCGAAGATTTAGAGCCATAAACCCCCAACACGAAAAGCCTTTAGACTCTAGACCTATGGCCCAGTAAACCGAGCTTTTGTCATTAATATCAGGTGGTCCGAGTATTGCCATCCATCCATAGAGTACAGGTGTTGTCGTACTACCCAGTGAGAGTTTGCTCTTACTTTCTTAGCCAAGGAGGTCCTCAAACAAGCTTGCACAATCACTCGCGTTTAGTTGTAAGGCTCAGGTTGTCTGTCAAGTCTTCATATAGCCTCACTGAGACTTTGCTGAAAGATGTGTACGGAAGCTGCTTGTGGACCCTTATGATGAGGACTTGCAATGACAACATTCCAGGGACCTAACACCTATCAGTCAGTTTGAGAACTCTTAAGCATCCAACCTTTCACCAGCCGCATGGCTGAGGTTTAGGCGTTCAAGGTTTAGATTGGCGTCTTTGCTTCAGATCGCGCCCAAGGATAATGTTGCCAAGCGTTTCAGCGCATATTTGTACTGCTAGGGCAATGGTTGTCTTCTGTCATAATCGCGTTTCCTGAGTCCCAGGCATGCCAGAAGCGCTGCACCTGATGCAGTTCCTGAGTGAGCCGCGGCAAGCTGTCTGCTTATCAGTGCTTGATGCGTTCCGCAAGTAAAACGGTTGATCGATCCGAAGATGTAGATTTCCTCCCGGATACTCGTGGTCATGACGATGTATCTTGGTATCTCGTCAAGAAGATCAAGATTTCGTCATCTCTTGTTCACTGAGAACCGGCGCACAACGATTTTACAGGAACAGGCATATGTTTTGTCATTGTTACTCTTTAGCTTGCACAATGGTTGGATTTTCTGATGAGTTCTCTGCATAACATCATAAAACGTTCAGACACTCCCTTGTGAGAATTCTTCGTGCGACGAAATCTGCCTTCATCGGGTTCGGTTCTAGAAGGACTGCTCACTGGTCGGATCAAAATTTGCGAAGGGGGGGAGCATTGTGGCGGGTCCTGAAATGCGGCAAGAAACTCCAATATGAGGGGTGACCTGACTATTGGCTGACCCTCGAATAAAATGCAGTGAAGGGAAACTGCGCATGAGGCATGTGCTCCCGAGAATTGTGAGCATCGTGGCGGGTCCTGGAATGCGGCAAGCTCAGGGGAAGCCCCGCATGCGGCGTCCAGGAACGTTGCCAGAACCCAGCAAGCTAAGAGGAAACTCCACATGGGAGTGTCCCATGCGTGTCACTCAACTGCATTTGGGCCTGTGGCCCTGATAAGTTTTTTTTGTTGCAGGCGCAGGGCCCAGCTTTTTCATGCACGTACCATTATCGTGGACAGTTGGCCTTTGCATACCATCCAAGACGCGGCTTGAATCATCACGTGTAGTTGTCGCTTTTGGACAGTTTCTGTGACACTTCCCGGGATCCGCGTCTCCAGGAATTTCTTATAACAGCAATAAAGAAAGAATGCGCGTATCGGGAGTCGGGAGTTCCACACTTTGCATGAAAACTCCTCGAAAGTTGGTGAAAGCAGTGGTTCACGCCGTCAGCCTGCCTAAGCTACTTGTTTGATGCATTTGGCTGAGCTTGTAAAGTTTGAAGAGGTATCTTAGCCGTATTGTTTTGTGCAAGTTTGCATAGGTTCCGTTGTTGGAACAGCCGGAGCGGAAAGCCCACGGGTGTTAGCTTGCGCAAGTTGTGCTCGCAGGCTGATTGATTTTCGTGGCTCCTTCAGGATTTCAGATGACAGGTTCGGACTGCGGGATTTAGATGTTCGCATTGACGTCTAGCTAGTTAGGCGGATGATGAAATCAGCCTTCAAAAGGGACTGGGGCGGTAATTAGCACGATGTCGAATGGGAATGACGCCCCACACGGGAGCAAATTGTAAACACTGGATGCGAGACGAACTGGGCAGGAGCCCATTTACTCCAGGGGAAGGACCGCACAGTGCAAGTGCTTATTGGGTTTTATCGTGTCTTATCAAATAAGCTGGTTGTTAGAAAGCTGCAATCCGTGCTTCGCTCCTGGCCATCCGATCTTTTGCGGTCTCATCTCGGTGTACTGTCAGGAATGCTTGCTATGTTGCCCGTTATCATGGCGGCCTGGACTAGGTCTTATACAGAATTACGCAGACTCAGTACTAACCAAACAGGACAACACGCACCAGCAGGACGCAACGACTGCGTTCACTCCACATTGATCATTCTCAGGAATTAAAGTTAGAGGTAGCGCATCATGTTTTATAGATAAGTTGAAGACAAATGTGTAAGGATTGCAAGAGCTTGAAAGATCTTGTGGTTTCTCGGGTTCAAATGGATGAAATTCGATCGGCAGGCTGGCCACACCAACATGGAATTGCCAACGCCGAAGTCAGCGAATGGACCTAATTGGGAGCTTTTGCAAGGCATCCATTTCGCTTTTCCATTTTCTTTCCAAAGACAGGGAAGATGTAGAAATCAAAAATGGGATAATCAACATACAATGAAGGTGAAAGCTCAGGCCAACAGAAAAATGTTCTTGAGCACAGCCCAGGGATGTTTATTATGAGGTTTCAGCATCTCCGGCGCACACCGATTTAATGTATCGTAGGAAAGAATCACAGGCCTCCAATGTGGGAGATTGTCGTGCCGCATCGTGCTGCCAAGGGCTCAAGAACTATGGATTGCCCTGTCACTCTTGGACGTGTCCGCTGCTGTGCCATTTCTCTTCGTAGCTTGCTGCTTTGGGGACTGCTATTGCTGGCAAGTTCAACAGACGCGGCACAGTGCAACGCCAACAATGCCAGCGTTGTGATTGACCCAGGGCTTGATCACGAAAGCAATGGTGTTGGCGATGCCATGGCTGGCGTGGAGTTCTTACAAACAAACATGTATATGTCTGGCACAATCGGGCACATGTCTCTGACGTGGATGCCATCGCCACAAATTTTACGCTTAGTAGGTGGAAGCATTACATTAGCAGGGTTTTGGCTGATGCTAAATGTTGGCAACACAGACACGCTGGTAAGCTCGGCGATCTTCTTGGACTTGTTTATGACAACCATCCTTACACCCCTGGCACCAACGCTGACGCCAAGCTACCAGTTGATTGCACTGCTGACAAGTTCCAAGAATGTTGTGACTTGCCTGATCGCACCCTTCACCGGACGCTTTATTGATGGCAACGAGTCTCGGGGAGAAAATAGATCTCGAAAAGTTAAAGGCTCATGCAGCCTGAGTGGGATAGTTCTGCCGTTCTACAGATGGAGATAAAGTGGTGAATGCAGTGGAAGCAATCAATAAGGACACAGTGATACATGCTGTTGGTAGTAGGTTCAATGTCATCCTCATCCTCTTTTGTTTTCTCCATCTCTTTCCACCCCCGAAGTCATCTGGTCCGCGAAATTACTCAGAACCCGCTATGCAGCAACCTCTGAAGCAAACCCGTCTCGCTCCCTAGAGGAAGGCTGTTTGATATCATATTTAGGGTCGCTTTCCAAAAGCCCTTTGCCCTACAGCCCTCAACCTGTCCAGCTCTAAACCTTACACCCGACACCCTACACCCTGAACCCAGGAAGCCAAATCCATGCAACTTGGAATGCTCTTCGCAATGCTCTGCACTTTAGCCTTGGCGATTGCAACCCGGCTGGAGTGTTGGACTTACTCTTGCGACTTTGGGTTTCAGCACTTATCAGGGGCTTCCTGGTGGGTTGTGCCTGTAGTAAGTAACCCCAGCAGGGGAAGATCAACTCGAACATCAACTGGCAAGGATCCCAAAAACAACAGCCATCAACCGACCATAGAAAAGGTTTCGTCGGGGATGCTGTATCAGGGTTTCTCATCTGCCGTGCGGCAAGAGTCTAAGCCTTCAACTCCGTGAACTTCTGAAGTACGGGCCACTAACCAATGGGCCGTGATTGACGAATACAAATTGCCTACTACATCCCAGAAATCTCTCATCCGCATCTCATCCATCACTAGGGACGTCCCAGGAAGCTCGGTTATGGGTATATATCAAGAGAATCAGGGAATCCATGCAGAATCCTTGCATATACCCAGGTGCAAAATTATTGGTGCTGGCTTGTGATACGCTGCGTCAGCGGATGTTCGACCGCTGCCTGGCTGGATCGGTCGGTACAGACGCCTGAGTCACAACTAGTACGGGCTATATTGCAAACATGCTTCATTAATGTTCTAGCGACTCACACCTCATAGCTATGTTCACTGTCCCTTCAATAGATGACCACAGACAAAGAATTCAACAACAGCCCATCAGCTTAGGAAGTTGTATTCGATTGGATACTCCTTAAGCTCGATAGCTTGCTCTATCTTGCTCTAGGATTCTGCTGGTGCAGGTTTTTTGGTGTGGCAGGTTGCTTCCCGATGAGTCATACAACCTATCAAAGAATTTTGCTAATTGTTCCTGCTTTCCTGGTACGTCGGATGTATGAGATGTTGGGACAAACGATCTGACACAAGGCACATGCTAAGATTTTCGGCATACTTGAAGTGACGTCGACACATGCCGTGAAGCCAAATGCGTAGACGTTGTACATTCCGTGACACTGAGAAACGACATGCATTGTGAGACATTGTGAGATATGAGGATGCGACCTTCTCCGAGCGTCCTCCCACATTGTCATAGGAACCCCCTCCTGAAAACAGCCTCCCTTCTCCTAATGTACTGGCTTTCCTTCAACGCAACGGGGGGTGTTTGTAAGTAAGCCGCCGCGTTTCGGCCTCACTTGCAGATCGTCACGAGAAAAAGTGGGGTAGCATATTATGCGCTCTCCTTTCAACAATTCAATTCAAGAATCATCAGCTTTCGGCTACAACAATTGATAAGCACTAGACTGCAAGAACAGCAGGGATTGACTATGAAATCTTTCAGGCCTCGTATCCCTCTCGTGGTAACTGTACAATGATTAATCCAAACAAGCCTAAGCATGGCAGAATCACATGAGAACGGAGCAGCATTGGTGATGATGCCAACTATCCAGCGTCATAGTACACGAAAAGTATATGTGCATGATCTACCAAGTCTTCCAAACCCTCCTTACGCATTTTCAGCTGACCTTCTCGGATCCTTCCGGTAGTTTCCTCCCGGGGGTTTCATTGAATTCTGTGCTACTGGACAACGTAGTCTACATGGCATGTGTTCAGATGGTAATGAGACAACGCTGAAGGGTTGACTGCTTCTAAACCCTAAGCCCCTAAGCCCTTAAGACGAGGCCTAAGCCCTCAAGCTTTGAAAGCACACCTTCTACTTGGCTGCCCCTACCACGCTAAACCAAACCTTACCAGTCAATCCCATAATTGTGAGGCTGCAATCGTCTGGGGGGGTTTTGCGCTGTTGAACCGAGTGCATGCGCATGAGGCGCTAAAGTGCTGCAAGCTTTGGGATTTTGCGGTTCAGGACTTTGGGGCTTCCTGTGAACAACCTTTTTTGGGTCGAGTGATTTTGAAGCGTCGAGCTACGGATGTGGCTTTTTGTTTGCTTCGGGGTTGCTCTTCGAACCTATGCTGTGTGCCTGCACGGCTAAATACCCACATGTCAACTAATCCTGGCCCCAGGGAACGCTGTTATTGCCACCCGTTTTCTGAATACGATGCCGCCGATGCCTATAATTACCACATTAGCCGACATCTCCGTCAATTTTCGGGGTTGGGGGTGGTGTCTCTTCAAGGGCACTGTTGGGACAGGAGGCGAAAAGGCTTCCCAGCCAAAGTGGGTCAGGATCCATTTGGGGGGCCTAGACCACCGACTCTGCAAGCTAATGTTGAGACGTGGCCATGCCAAGTGCACAGCCGTGATGTAACTTTGAAACCTTGGCCAAGCTACTGCACGGGTCTAGATCGTTTTGATATTAATTTGGGCGATACTATACCATAATATTGTATGGCTATGAAAATGCAATGTTCTGCCTTGTTCATCTTTTTGCACTATTAGATCACCAGGGCCACCGCAGCAACAATGCCACTTCGACTAGATCTGGGACTCCTTACAAATCAAAAAGGTCAGCATACTGACTACAGGGCTCCTCAAGGAGAAAGATTGAATTCTAGCGCCTGCCACAAACCTTCCGGAAGATTTTCTGAAGGCTGCCGACCGCACGAAGGCAATGTCAATGGCGACAGCCGGCCTATATGCTGGTGTGAATGGGCAGTTCATTAGAAGCTTCTTCATGTTTGTTTAATGCGTGTGGTCATCAGATATTTGCTTCCATTCTTGGGCTATTCTTGGGTTCTTTTCTTTTATCCTTGACGAATGTTATTTTAGATTTTCAGGGCTTCTAACGTGCTGCTTTGCATCTCAGGGATGTTTGTCAGTGTGTTTTCCTCTGTATTTTGAATGGAAAACGTGTGAACTAATCATTCTCCAGACTTCGGATATCGCTGACCATGTAGTGCAGCTTAGGGCTTGCTTGGTTGTTTTGGGCCAAGGCTGAGACAGAAAATTTTCTTGAGGTATGTTGCCATGGAACCCATGGATCCGGTTTTGATAGAGCCCACGCATAGGCTAACATTTCAGCTACTCTAATCCCTGTTTTCCTCAACCCCAAGCCTGCAACCGGAACCAGCACTGCTGCGGTCAGACTTTTTTACCCAGCTTCAAAGCGCAATTCTAAACAACGTCCTGCCATTCCTGGTATTACTTCGTGGCCTCCTCATCTGAGACGCCAGTAACCCTTGTAGCCTATGCTTAGCCCCACGCAGCAAGTGAGAGCCCCAGACAGAGCCCAGGTGGTCTTGGGTCCACAGGCTGGATGTTGGGCCTTTTCTGTTCTTTAGTTACATAGGCTTGAGGAGCTCCAGGGATTATATCGAATTTGCATGTTGACATATTTGGCTTGCAGCGATCGATCTAGAAGTCTGGAAAGTAGCCTTGTAAAGGATCATTGGCGCGCTAATTGAGAACAGGCTATCCTGGAAGCTGTTCTAAGCGTGACGCTGTGACTCTTTACAGATGTTTGTATGAACTATCAGCTTTGCGGCCAGTACCAATAAGAAGGATGCCAATACATTCAGCCGGGTGCTGACAAGACAGGAGGAAGCAAGTCCTGTCTTGATAGGGGTCTGGTCACCAGACCCTTCCGAAGTTTGGACTCCTCGATGGGATTTCCTTTTGATACAGCAACCGTGCGCAAAACTTGAGGCATGCAAGTCTCAGGGCATTGGACGACTATTAATCCCCAAGCCATAAACCCTAGTGTAAGGTTTCCTTTTCAGATTTATTCAGAGCACCAAGGTTCAAGGTCAGAATACTTTACATGGCTGAAGGCTACGGGACCTAGGACCCTGGATCGCTTCCAACCTTACACAATACAGAGAGAGAGAGAGACTTGGGGGAAAGCTGCATCAACCCCGATAGGGGAATTTACGCCAACGACAGTTGCTGAATTCAAGGAGTCTGCGACTTCAATACTCGGGAGCGGTGCGAATGAAGAATGACCTCAAGCTGTGTTCTGTCTTGTCCAATCTATGGTTCAAAAGTCTCGACAAACTTGCTGGCATTTCGGGCCTGGTTCTTGGCACAGCAGCGTACTTTGCGACATAAGCAATTGGAATATTCCTTAGACGTCTGCTACGGGTATGTCAACACACCAGTTCACCAGGAGTGTTCCGGGGAATGTTGCTGATATTTATGCAGGCACGTCAGAACTGGGATTTTGCTGTAACTCCCAGGACTTGGATACTTGGGTCGCTGTGGGATTTCTTCAATCCACACTAAGGCCCCTTTAAGTTCTGACCCGTCATTTTGATTGAATGCTCATCACGTACAGCATAAGTCTACTCCCCCCGACTCCCCCCTACACTTCCTGGAGCTCTAATCAAGCATCACAGCGACCGTGTTCATGTTTGAGGTGGCAGCATAGAAAACCTTTCATGTAGCCAAACTTCTGTTAGCCCGAAGTCAGCTTTCTCATCTGGAAGCCGTGCCACCAAGTGCTGCCTACTGCTGGTCACGCCAGGGCTCCACAACTGTACATCGTTCTGGGGCATCGCCCATTTGACCTGTTGAGAATAGTTAAAAAAATTGGCTCACTCGAGACGTATATGGATGCAGCCCTTGCAGGCTGTTTGCATCCCTCTGAAATTCTGTTGCTAGGCTGGCGGCCTGTTTGTGGACGACGTACGTCCACTCTTCATTCTCCTCATGGCAGCGCAGATGTGTGCCCTAATCCTTCAAGGCAACAAAGGAAGCTTTAAACCCTAAACTCGAAGACGCCAAGCAAGGCCAAGACCCCACAAACTTCTGAAAAGGATTTTCAACACGCCACAAGTCTTTAAGGATATGATTTCCGATGATTATCACTTCTACGTTGCCCTTCTGGCGCAATTACCACCCAAAGTTAGGGCACATATGAGGTTAATACGAGTCTCTTTATTCCTCTCCCTCGTGCGAGGAACAGTTCTGTCGGCAAACTGCTGTATAAGGACGAAATTTAAGGGTCTTTGCTAGGGCGCGCTTCGAAACTTAGTTGCGTTGCCTAGGTAGCAAAGGACTCAGGTCAAAACCTAGGATGGAGATATCATGGCGGTTTCCACTTTGACTGGGGCTATCAAATCATCAGATGTTCCTTAGATATTTCATGATCAAGTCTGCAACGTAGACTTGATTACCATGGTAACATATATAAGTATGTATCAAAGTCGAGAGTCTTTCGAAACATAGTGCTTCCAAAGGACGGTAAGGAATCGTGCATGTGCCCCTCATACGGGAATGCAGGAGCCAGCTTGTGATACCTCAAAAAATCTGGGCAATAGCAGGATTGCAAGCAGGTGGGAGGCTTGTGAAGCTTGGACTTTGAAACCCATGGCTGCAAAGAGAGGTACGTACTTTGTGCTACGCAGCCATCTGCCACACTTGCCCCAGAAGCAGATTCAGGAAGAGACTGAGGAGGCGGCATGCAATCATGTCTCGCTACTTGTGGTAGACCCACCCATTTAACAAACAAAAGCATTGCTTGAGGCAGTCTGAACACGACGTAATGGTCCCCCCCTGCCTCTCCTCTTCCGTTTGTACCACCCTATACCTTCATCCCCAGACTCTTTCACAACGAGTTTCTGGCCACGACCCCCCTCCCTCATGAGTCACCCCATGCCCTTCTGCAAACTTGTGTTTCGTAGTAGTTTCTGCATGTGGGACACAGAAATACGAGGAAACATTTTTTTTTTCGGCTCCAGAGAGACCACTCTTGTGCAGCATAGCCCCAACACCGTTTGCAGGCGAAGGTGGACATGATGGGCCTGATCATGGACCCGGATGTGCGAGACTAGAGCGTGCTTGACAGCCCAGATGTCTTGCTAGTTTTAGTCCGAGATGCACCAGGAAGATCTATCGATGCCATTCCCAAATCCGAAGCCCTTAAATTGCCGTGCTTGCAGTGCAAGGTGCGTGTCAAAGTTGTAAAACCTTAAGATGACCAAGGAAATCCAATCATTGCTTTGTTTCTCGCCCTGGCCTTCATCGGGGCGCTGGGCTCCACAGTTTTCGAGTACATGGTCCGCTTGGGATACGACCAAGCGAAGCAGAAACTCAGGAGTTCAATTGCCTTTGGGTTAGATTTCCGGATGCTACGGCTAGCCTGGGGAACTAGATGAATCAGAAGAAGATTGTATTACAGTGGCGTACATGGGGTAGAGTAAGATCCAAATTCAGGATCAGTTTGGTCCCAAGGTAGAGCTGAGAGGTTCCTTTGAAGATCTGAGGTCGAAGCCCCAGTAGGATCGGGACCTGGAAAAAAAGATGTACGCATCCAGTTTATGTGCATAGCACAGGTATTTAGTAAGTGAGGGACTTTAGTCACTTTAGTCACCTGAAACAAGTAGTGCAACTCAGGAACTTGACGTGGCTATTCAGCTCAGTTCCGGCAATCCTTCTTGCGCATCTCGTTAATCACGACAGTTGAATTAAGCTCTGCATGAGAGGAGCAGCGTTCATGAACCCCGAACTATGTGAGGTTGAGTAGCGGCGATCCGGGAGGGGACGAAATCGAGACATGCCTTTTGTTTGTTTATGGGATTGCTAGCATCCCCCAATCTGGGGTTCCTGGTGAGAGAACAGGGTGATGGCCTGCCCTGGCTTCTTGTTGGGATCACATCTGCTGTTCCGGGGTCCATGTCTTCTGTTGCCTGCAAAATGTCTTCGCTTCGCAGTTGTTCTTGCCTCTGCCGCCTTTAAAGACTGGAGTCGGGGGATACGAGGGTAGTGCCGACGTATTCGCTGGAAGGGTGGCTTGAAAGCGTTATGATATGGTCTCATGTGCTAATTACAGGCTGTAGGGGTTATTGCAGGGATTCGCCGGCAAAGCAAATGCAACGCAACAAAGATTTGGCATGGACACTACTTATTGCAGACTCGGGGGTCAGAGAAGTTTTGGCTGTGACTCCAGTTCTGTTTCAGAATGCCTCTGAATTAGAAAATTGGGAAATGCTTGATGTACAAGCTCCCACGATTAAGGTACAGCGTTCCGGTGCTTCGATGTTTCCTCGATGGCCAGACGCTGCAGATCCTGGCTATGCTGCTGTGTGGAGGTAGTGAACCTGGGCCTGTTTTGGGAAGGCTGAATGTTCACCTTTCCTGTTCATGACACGCGATTCCCACAGGGTTCTTAGTGTCGTTTTTTGGTTTCCAGGTAGCTCAAGCTTGAAGAGATTCTAGCCAGAACTGAGGCTTTGCTATGCTTTGGCTTTGACTACATCCTGCTTGCGCTTACATTGTTGGGTGCCAGCGTTGCGGCAGGGATTGTAGATGGAAACACGCCCGCGATGCTTGCAGACCGGAGCCAGGAGAAGTACGGTGGGCCGAGTCCTCAGTTGTGCAGGAGCTGACGAAATCACTGTGCTTATTTGTGACTGTGACGCACCAAGAACAAATGCAATGTTGAGTTGAACTCCCGCATTGGCACGTTTAAAACTGGACCCGAAGCCGGATTTAGCTAGTGGCGGCAAGGTCGCCAAAACATGCTGCTCACTTGTGCTCAGCGGAACCTGTAAGACCCCCAGGCTAACACCCCCCACTGCCGATCAGGAGCACTTGAAATCAGCCCTTATAATCTTCTTGTACGCTGTTTGAAGAGCCCTGCCAGTCTACCAAGCCCCAATCAATGTCAACAACTTTATATCGGCCTCTGTCCAGCTGTTGTGCCTTGTACGTGTTCATTCTGAATTCTCATCTGGGGTTGTTGAAAGGGACCTAGTGTTGGCCCGCCTAAGGACAGGCCAGGTGTTCGTTCTGTCAAACGTGGCAGATCAAGCCGCATTTATTCTGGGACCCATCGTTGGCAGCAGCGTCTGTCAGCAGGTGACTTGGGGATTTGACCGCGACGTTGGGTATCTTACTGTCTAAAGGGGCGAGAGACTGCTATCAGTTTGGGCTATATAGATCCGCGCTACCAGCTGGGGTGAGGGCCGAATTCCATATGCCCAGAAGTTAGCTTCTTCTCCTATGCCGCGAGCACTTTTGTTACTTTTTTTGTTCAGTGTGATCTCTGCGACTCTTTGTCTTGGCCTGGTGCCTTCTGCCCGGAACGACCTTCAAGAGGGTCCCCAAACAGCTTCCCTGAAGCTTTCAAAGCCAGCCCGGAAACACATTATGGACGGTCTCTGCATCGAACTGAGTGCAACGTTACTTCACTTCAGAAGCTTGTACATGCGAGGTGAGCTTTCCTTTCATGTGCCAATGCTTTGGCGGCTGCATGCTGCTTTATGCCTTTTTCTTGACCGCACCTGGGTCTTGTTGAGTGATTGGCAAAGGTACTCTAACACAAACCGTGAAGTGCAGCCGCTTTGGCTTTCTAGCCTTTTTGCACCAGCCTCGCTGGCAGCTGCATTTTCTTATCAAGTTGAAGTTAACATTGATTGAACTTGTTGTTTGGAAGTCTTGGAGAAATTACTGGCCAGTTTGTCCCCAATGTCAATCCAGGTGTCCACATTTTCCGGGCGCGATGACGAGCCGCAGAAGAGCGCCAATCATTCCAACACAAAACACCTGTGGAAGGACTCATGCTGTTCAGCACAAGGGTTTTTGAAGGAATCACGTAGGGGGTGCGCTCATAAGAATTCCCAGGCAATGGTGTGGATTCTGCACACTTGTAGATTTTTGCATTTTGGCACTCGTGGTTTCTCACTCGAAGTCCTTAGACGTAATAGGACAGCGGCGTGCGCATGTTGAGAAAATATTGCGGGGTCCTGCCGGGTGTCTGAAGACCTCCTATAGTCTCCTGTAGTCACGTAAAGATCAGGCCGCGGTTGTCATATTGTGCTATAATATATACTTCAGGATCAGAGGGGAAGTCAAGCAGGCTTGGTTGCCCCCATAAACCTCAGAGCCATTCTATGCTTCCGTATGTACCAATCCACTCGAAAGTCCAACTCTTCTTGCTTTTGATGTAGCCCTTAGTCATTCGCAATGCTGGCTAAGGAGTTGGGGGTGGCAACGCGGTGTTTGCAACACAGAGGGGAGGTGGCCGACGGTATTGGTTGCGTGGGTATTCCCATCCACCTGTCACTCGTATCATGCTAGGCTTTCTCAAAGTCTGATTTCTCCTCCAAGACCTCAGGACGCATAGCATTCAAAGGGCTTCTGAGTCGGGATCCTGTAGGAGCTGTTGTAAGAAGGTCCCAGTTGGCAACAGCTTCCTTCTAAGGAAGCACAGGCAAAACGGAAGGGCAAGGGTCAGTTCGTTGTTGACACGGCTGCGTTTATTCTGCCATCTTTTAGCATTTGACACCCCCGAAAACATAAAGCCCTTGCTTCAAAGCCGCTAAATCCCAAAGCTCCAAGCCCTAAAGTTAGCCAACACCAGCTTATCTGAGAATGCGGCGTCACTAGGGTTGTTACGTTCCCCGTCCCAAAACGCACGTAGTCTTGGAAGGGCAGATAAGTTTGCGTATTTGAGTTCCAAACCTCCACATTTTGGCTTTGCAGGTATACTTTTGCAGTCTCCAAACATTGAGCACAATGCTTGAGGTCACAAGCTTTCATCTATGAGAAGCCCGGCACTCCGTACCCCCGGGGAGCCATCTACGGGCGCTTCGATCACCCTACAAGGCTGATATGGAGACACTTAAGGTCTCGGGCTTAAGCGCATACTGGATACCATTTTAGAGATTTGTAGTGGGATGTTGGTGTAGGGCTTCCTAGAGTTATAGGTATGGAAAAGGGGGGTTGAGTTGAACATCAAATAGAAGGGAAAGCCTTTCCTAACCAATATCTCACGATGGTAGACTCCCCCAACCGAGGCAAGGGCAAGGCCCAAGTAAACTTCTAAACTCTTTGAGATTTTAGTATTGCAGATCAGCAGAGGTGATTGTCTCTTTGTGCAAGATTTGACGCGTATACTATCGCATGATGGGACTGCACGTAGGTGTGTGTGATGAAGAGTTGGTTCAATCACGGCGGTACGAAGTCAGGGCCTTCAGGGGCACATCGGCAAGTACATGGCATACAGTGAGACCGTGTAGGGGGATTCGCAGGGGCTAAGTCCAATACCAATCCACTTTGGTCCAGAAAGGGCTTGGAATCAGAAGTGCTTGTTCTCGGGTGCGTACCGGTTTAGCTGGTCTTAATGGACCTGATATGGACTCATTACCTTCAGGGGAGCAACGAATGCGGTGTTTCGACCTACCCAGCAACTACCCGCTTCAATTGGGTTTCATTATAGCTGAACCCTAAGCCGAAAGAGTTTGATTTCGGGTTTGCAATGCTCGGAAGGCAGAAGCTAGAGCAGTGCCATTCGTCCTGCGAGATGTCCGCACACGCTTTGGCCTTCAGCACCTATGAGGTTGCCGTTTAAAGAGAAAAATGGTTTAGAGTTTAAGGTGCTTCGAAAAGGAAAAACAGGTTTTGCAAAGGGGATACAGCGCTTGGCCACGCGGAATGTAACATCATCGAACTTGCCGTGCATTCTGGCCGTTGTTTCGCAAGGGCTGATGTAGGTTCGAGTTGGTTACTGCTCAGCTAGCCGATGGCAAAGCAGCAATTTTCAGGACGCGGGTCAAAATGAGGGATCATTTATATACCTTTGTTTGGGAATGGAGCTTTCTGATACCGATGCAAAGAAATGCACTAAACGGACCTTGTTGGTCTTGCTCACGGTCTCAATGTTTCCGAGTTCTTTTCAAGTCGGCTTGGGGAAGCAGAAGTTGTCCAACTCCAAGCCAAGCGCCTCCTCACATGCAACAAGCATCTGGACCAGAGGCTCTTGACAGACGACTTCTCCTCTGTACGGAAACCCGTTCGGGGTCTTTTTTTTGCCGCATGCATGTCAAATGCCTGATTCGGATCTAGCTCAGCCCCTGAAGGCAGCTGTCGCGAGTATCATGGCGATGCTAAAATCAGGCGATCGGATGCTGGTCCTGGGGCTGCGGCACGACACGAGGTTGAAACTAGAAATCCCATGCCCGCGGTGCCCTTGAACCCCTTAAGCGAAGCTTAGCCCAAAATTCTAAGCGCCAAGATGCGAACAGCTGATTGCAAGCAATGCCAGCCGACAACTGAGTAGCGCCAGCCACGAGAGTTTCATCTGATCTTGTGAAAGCATCTATGGCACACAATCTTCTAGAAGGCGTGCAGGGCTCCACCTCCGCAACCTCAGGACAGCCTCTAAAAAATCGATCCATCATGTTTCCCAATATCGTCAAGATGTGAGGGTTGAAGTTTGGGAGAATTAGTTTTACTGAATAAAGAAGAAGATGGAAATTGCTACAGCTGCTGTAGAATATGGTAGGCTCCATCATGTTCCATCGATCCATAATTCTAGTAAGCCATGCAAAACAGCCAGTGGCGACTTAGAGCAGAGAATAAACTTCCTCTGCTTGACACGCTCTGCGATACCGGGAAGTTTTTATTGCGTGGGTAGAGGTCAAATTAGTACTATAGAGGAGCGCAGCCCAATGGACCAACTCTCGCCAGAATGTGGGGGATCCAATTTTGCGCTTGGGTCTGCAATGCGGTGATTAAAGCCATAGGCCAGCGCAAAAAAATGTCGCAGGGACAGCGAGCACATGCGTGAAATCCCAAGTGCAAAATTGGATCCCCGCAACAAGGAATCCTTGAGTTAAGGTATCTGGGTCTCAGGTCATATTTGAAGTTGAGCTGGGGTTTGGAAGAGAGTTCGAGACAGCAAGACCCGGCGGCAACAGGGGAACGCTCCAAACTCTAATAGATTAAGGTTTGGGCAATGCGTTTGCAGGTACGCTGCCACTTCGGGTTATGGGGTTCGGCATTAATGAATACAGTGTGTGCTCTAGGGTGCTCTAGGGTGGGATATGTGCACTTATTATGGAAGCATTCTTTCACGGTTGTTATGGCAAATCCCGAATGGTCGCAATTCTTCTGTCTGCGTTCCGTTAGATTTGTTAAGATCCATGCGCGCATGGCACGTTTTCACATTTAGGAAGTTTCGAGGGCAATAAGCACAAGCTGAAGCACAACATGCCGTCGTTGGGGGAGAAGCAATGACCAAGAAATTTTGGCTCCAGTATTCTTTCGACCCTCAATCATCCAAGCACCACGGCCAAGCTCCCAAACTTGATATGTAAGATACAACGCGCACCAATACATTTCGTGAGTTGTGTTCTCAATAGGCCTTCCAGCCTGGATCAAGGACGAGAGCTTGCTGCGTTTTTTCAAGCAACTGGCTACGCGGCGGGCTTTTCAACTCCAGGACATCTGACTTGAGTATGCTCAAATTTCCTTTGGGCTGTTGGTTAGTGTAGGTCTGGCCTGCTCTTCTGAGCGGAGCCATGACTGAAAGATTTCGCCCGTGTGGACATTGAGAACCCAAGTAATAAGTCTAATGGATGTAAGATGTCTAGACACTGGGTCGTTCCTGAGACATAGGTTCCACCACATGAACAGCCAACAAAGGGTTTCAAGCACCCAGGCCGTCACAACAGTACCATCATTCCTAAAAACCTCCATGTACTTTCCTGGTCATAGAATACGACGTGCCGTATGTCCTAAAAAATATCGCAGTGGTGAGGCGATGCAGAAGACTTCGTTTTCTTTATGTTGTTCACAGTGTTCCGTTCAAGGTGATGGAGCTCTTGAAGAAGCACTATCTGTTTAAATTCAGCTGCTGACCTTAACGATTTGACAAAGTGCAGACCTCTCGAGAGCCAAGCGCTAACACATATTGGCACATTAATCATGGACCAGAATGGATGTTACATGGGGATATCCATAAGCATGTATTTTTCCTGCCCAAGTGCAGACGATTAACAAGTTGTTCCCTTCCACCCTAAGCCATAGACCTAGACCGTGGCAGATGGCCTGAGACTATCTGTCAGAACTCAGAACGCACTTGCTCTAAAATCCTAAAAGCTGGTATGCAACTTCAAAGCTGCAGCCAGAAAAGAAAATTGCATGGCTTTGTTTGTTGTGGTTTTGTTTTGCTATCTGGAGGTCCACTGCAACTGCTTACTGTAGCTGCGATTACAACCTAAGCTGTAAAACCCTGCTGAATTTGCAGTGTTGATACTCGGTCTACAAGTGCAGCTACGCGTAATCTGTCAGGGTCATGGAACTCCAATTACGGATTCTTCGGAACCCCAGAAACTTGTTCTCATCTCCAGGACATTGTGTGCCCGACGGGTCTGTCATCGGCCGATCGTGCCGACATGCTTTCCGGCGCGAAGATGTGTTGGCTTGATGGTGCTCGACATGACAAGAAGCTTGGATGTTTTTGACATGGGTACTGTATCTCCAGCGCAGGGGCCTAGTTTTAGTCTGGAAGCGCACAAATGTAGCTCTCAATCAAAGTTCTTCAGTCAATTGCGCGGCAATGTCATGCTTAAAATGCATAACTTTTGCGATAGGGACACCCTTCTGCAAGAAAGACGCTGAGACCAAGAGAGTTTCAGCTGATCTTGAGAACGTCCTTGATACCCTTGAAACCTCATGAATCACTGAGACTCATAAACCTCCCAAATCTTAGCCGAACGCTAAGACCTTAAAGCCGTAAACTTCCCAAAGCACAAGACACTTCTGCCCCCTTGTGCAATCCCCTCGACTTCAAGGTATTGGGCCATGAGATGAGAATCCGGTTCCAGAGGTTGGATGTAAATACTCTGAGCGTATATGGTTGACAGATCTCCATACACGTTTTTCATGGTATGGTCCTCCGGGCCCTTGGAACATTGTAAACCTTCAGATCAAAAGGAGTACACACGCCGTAACCCAAACTAGCCGGGCGCAACTGGAACTTCGTGACAGCAGCCCAGCGCGCAGGCCTTACAGGAACCACATTTCCACGTTACAGGAAACATTGGTCACATGAGCGAATGTTTCCGCTCGTTTCTAGCCAGGATTTGAGGACGATCCAGGCGAGAGCGCGAGTTCTTCCTGCCAGACTGCGGGGATGCTCAAGGCGAGAGCGCGTTTCCCAGCCGGGTATCGAAGACGGCCAGGACGCTCCACACGACCACGCCATGCAGGTTCGCCATCGCCGTGCAGCCCCGACAGAGCCGTAGGGATACTTTTTTGGATTTCCACGTCCTGGGTCGGGGATAAAGTTGTTCAAAAAGCCGAAAGCCTCAACCACAAATCAAAGTTACGTCGCTTCATGTTATTCACCGGCTTGTTTTGCACCAGGCGTAGCTTGTCCACTTCAGGTATTATCAGGTTTATGTATGTTTTTGTTGCGATGTGCCTGAAAGGCTCAAAAGTGGCTTGCCAGCTGGAAGAACCCAGCTTAACTAGGCATTGCAGGCTGACCTGAGCTGACCGGTCCTAGTTTGGGAGCGTTCGGGAAAGACCATGGAACACGCGCAACAGGCATGAATCTTTTAAATGCTGATGGGCTGAAGACTAGGACGGACCAATTTGCGCCATTCACATCGATGTCAGCCCTAAAGCCTTTAGTCTGGTCCCGGTTTGAAATCAACGATACTGATGTAAGTAAGGTGGCTGCCGGAGAGCCCACTTAGCTTGAGCGCCCCCGTATGCGTGTGAGATTGCTAATATGGTATTGACATTAAGCTGGCAGCCGGCTGTGGTCGCCTTATCTTGAAGCGTTGGAGTGGCTGGCCGGGTTGGGGAATGGGGGGAGGCGCCTTGTGGGTGTGCCGCAAACTTTGGAGGGCTGGCATGCTTGGGCCACAGAAAAAGCGGAGAAAAGACCACCAATGTTGCCATCTTTGGCTTTCGCGGCAGGGTGAGTCAATTGTAACCTTGCCACGCTCTTGCAACAACATTCCACCGAGCATACCTGTTCATTTCCAACCAGCACTCCGGGGTCATTGGCTATTAAGAGGCCGGCGAGGGAAGGAACATATGTAACCCACTAGAACCAGTTGCCAAATCAGAAGCCTCTTGAGGACTTGCATATTTTCAAAATTGTCGCTATTAATTTGCAGAACTGATTCCAGCACCATGAAGTGTCAAGCAAGGACGGAGATCATGGCTTGGGGCAGAGCTTGCAGAAAGACCAGTGTTCATCTTCTCGTGGATGGGTCCGCATGTCCGCCAACTTCTCAACTCCTTATGGAAGGCGCAAGGGGTTGACAATTTTTAGAGTGGTAGGGCTCTGTATATGCGAAAAGGCTCCCAACACTCTCTTTGTGTTGGATCTGTATAAATTTCGTTCGTAATAGAGAGAATGGTTGTTGATGGCTTCGGGCCACGTTACGGCTTAGATGTGGCTTGGACTATTCATGCTAGAACCGTCCCCAAAAGAGTGTTTTTCAGTTTACTTGCACCTCGGGCTTCCAAAAGAATTATGGTGCGAGGGAGTTCCAATGATCGACAGGTGCGTCAATCGCTATCTATCCATGCAATACATTTATCGCCGCCCGCGCGGACATTCGCACCTGCATGCTTTCTACGCATGTGGGTCAACACTAGATATCCTTTTTGCTTTTTTTGGTAGGGTTCCCTACTTTACAGATACAGTTCAGTACCCAAGATGGATCTTTTTCTTTCTGCGGCAATAGGGGACTGAGGACTGATCCTGCTGTCTTCAAGAGCGTCAACTACTTTCGGCAGACCTTGGGAAGCACACCTGGGAATTTTGATTGCTTCTTGGTGTAGCTGCTTCAGGTAAGCGCAAAACGGAATACTGGAACATGGAAGTTCACATCTGTCCACTATGTGGTTTCAACAAACAGCTTGTTTCAATGTGTGCTGCATCATGGAGCGTTGAGGCTATCTGGCCTTTCGAGGGTTCATGAGTCTGAAGGCACGGCTCGATCGCCAGGCTGCAACCACCACGTGCCTCAGGTGTTCAAAGAAAAGATTTTGCTTGTCTGCCTGAAGTAGCTTAGCCTCATCCATCCATGTAACCACAAGGGTGTCAGAGACATGGGAACAACAGGATGATGCATGCTGTGCAAGCTCTTAACATAGCATCACCTCGCACGCTTGCGATTGCTACAAAGATGAGACAAGTCACCGAGCGTGGCCCAAAGAGCCGCTTTGCGTAAGCATCCAGTGTCCCGAGACAATGGCTTAAAAAACCGGAGTAGGTAGTTGCAACCACGGAGCAGCGATTTGAAAGTCTCAAGGTGGACATTTATATGGTGTATGAGGATTAAGCGAGATTAGCAAGGGTTCCCAAATCGAACGCCAGCTAGCCAGCTAACACAGAGACTCTTTACAAGCGCCAGTTCAACAGGCCACGCTTTGGTTTTTATCGTGGTGCTCTGCAGCATGGAAGAAGGGTCCCGCAAGCGAGGTACCTCGTAGGACAGCTTCGCATGAGTGAGACCCTTCGAGTGGAAAGCGTGGCTCAGACGAGCTTCCAGCTGCGGATTCTGGGTGCAGCTTCTGACCAGGCCTGGCCCGCGTGGCGCCCCTTTAGCTGTGCCCTGGAAAGGTGAGAGTGGGCGCGGAAGGGCGTAAGTGAGACACAGATAGAGAGATATATATAGAGAGAGGGTGTCTGAGAGGGGGAAGAAGGACAGGAAAAGGGAAATGAAGGAAAAGAATAGCGACAGATACAGAAAAGAGAGAGGAGGAGGGAGGGAGAGAGAGAAAGCGAGAAACCAGGCGAAAGAAAGAAAGAGCAGAAGAAGACACGGCACAGAGCGAGAGAGAGAGAGAGAGAGAGAGAGAGACGCAGGGAAGTCGGGTATGAGACTGCTTGCTTTCCTAGATTTTACTTGCAGAAGGTTCACGAGATATTGACATTCCCCACCTTTTAATCGGATCGGGGTTATCTCAAAGAACTGGTCACTCAAGGGAGCTTAAGCAGGAACCAATGGCATTCACTGTCCACTTTCCCTTCAAGACCAGAAAGTCATAACCAGTTGCCCTTCTACAAAAAGTCTTCCCAAATCCTACAAGTCCCAAGTTGCAAACCGCAGCCAGGCTGCGACGGTCTTGGATGGCCTGTCCAGACTGTCATTGGTCTGCTCACAAGAGCCCCGTTCAAGTCTCAAGCTCCGAGGATTGATCTAGAGTCTAGAGTTTAGGGCTTACTTGTTGAAAAGGCCTTGGCTGCTTGATGATCCTGCTCAAGTGTTGAAATCTGGTTGGGTGTTGCAGAGCTTGAGGCATGATGTTCTCAGTGTGTCAAACGGTGCTACACTACGCCAGGCCCAAATCAAGCCCGGATGAGCCAGAAATGGGGCGAGACAGTAGAGGACCCTATATGGATTGTGCATTTCAAGGGTTCATTTGGGTTGTGGCTGAGACAGGTCATGACGCCCTGCTTTGTGCTACCTGTGATGGCGGAAAGCTGCCTTGCCCATGACGCACAGACTACAATGATGATGATGGTGATGATGATGACGATGATGAAGGTTTCTGGTCACCATAGCAGCTACCATTGGCTGTGATCAGCACGGAAGCTTGAACATAAATCCAAGACATGCGTGCTGAGATCCAAAACATTTCATCGGTTTCAGCCGTAGGCGTAATAATCACGGCTACTTGTTGTTCCCGGTGGATAAGAAGATGTAGGTGTAGGTGAGATGCAAACCCTGGGCAACGCACACCCTACACCAGAAGTTGTGACTTGAGTTGCAATCCTTCAAGTTCAATGGTTGAAGCCCGGCAACGCCCTGCACAGTAGCATGCTGCGTCCCTGTATGACTGAGCTGGCCCGCTTTCTCCAGGTTCGCTTTTTGCCCGAACAGCTCTCCAGAGCAACCGCTGAATTCCACTTCTAACTTACCTTGGTCGGCCGTGCGCACACATGCCTGGGCGGTTCCGGGTGAGTGTCTTCGCTGACAAGGTAGCGCAGGTAGGGAATGATGAGTAGACACGAATGAATCGAGTATACTGGTTTGCCTTTTTTCCTGATGCAATTGACGACGCTTGTGGTGTTCAGGGCTTGCCTTAAAATGGGTACACGGTACACTAACCCATGGCGAGCTACAAATTCCTGCCCGGGCGGGGGAACTCAGCAACCAAGGCTGCACAGCGGGCCGCTGGTGCAAGTCCAGGTGGATGTTGAAAATTGCTGGGCCATTTTGAGATTCATAAGGCTCACTAAGCAGCTCATCGTTCGACAATGTCAGTGGCGAAGTAGCTTCGCGAGTGGCCGAGGGTTAAGAGGTCCCGCCGCCCCCACGCCATTATGAATCACCACGAGTTTGATATTTTCTTCATGAGTTGATATCAAGAATCTCGTCGAAGCTCTCCATTGGAACCCCGGATAGTCCTTCATGTTATGTCTGCGTCCTTGTATGCTGGAATGGGTGCCCGGCATAATCCGTATGATGTATATCTGTATATGTGTATATATATATATATATGAGAAAGTTCTCTCGGTATCCAACATTCGATGGCAAGAAGCGGATCTAAGCCTAACCCTGCCAAGCAGGTGGCTTTCAAATTTAGGGGTCCCTTTGTGGGAGTTCATATTAGAAGAACTTGTTTTTACCCCTGCTTGCCCAGACCCATGTCAAACTGCAAAGAAAATTGTTCAGCCTTTCCCCAATGTTCTTAGGAATTTTGTCTAAGTATACACATCTCGCCTCACGAGCGCCCAGCACCAGATTGGTTTGGAGTCTCCTGGTGACTTACTTCGGGAGATCTTGAGCGCCTTTTCCAGCCGTCCAGATTGCGGCCCCGAGGAACATCAATCCCCTGAAGGCTTCACCAGCCGCATGATGAAAGCTGCATGTGATCCCTCAGATCCGGATGCAAAGAGCGCCTGTCCCCAGTATCCACTGAATGAACCTTGGTTGATTCGGTATACGCTTTGGAGTCCTCGGCTTCGGCCTAAGGGCTTGGGGTTGAAGACGCTTCTCAGCAGGAAGATTACATGAACCCAGGAACTCAGCATCTTGGAGAGGATGATGGCAGAGGCCCATAATGCAAATTTTGCCGTAGCCTTTGCTAGTGGCTCTGCTACCTATCATGCACTCCTGGATCAGCTGCTGGGTCATCCTTCGCACCCGATTTCTTGTTGTTTATCATTGTACCCGAGGTATAGGATTCTTTTGCCATAGGAGCCGTGAGTACCCTCGTAGACTATGAACCACATGCTTGTAGTTGTGCCGGACGGTCTCCATGGAGAAGTATGGTGAGTGCGTTTTTGCTTTCGGTCCCAAATGGCAATAGCAACGCAATTAACAAGTGACTTCGAGTTGGGCCTGCAAGTTTCTGAAACAGATTCAAGGCTGTCCCCGGGCGACCATGCGGCTTGGCAATCTTGACTCAAACCTTTGTGATGCAACCTCCATTCAGTTTCATCCAAATTTTTTTCGAAAATCCACTTAAACTGGATTCGGGTGTGTATTGGACCAATGAAATTGATCATAAAACTGTCAGTTTTGAACAGCACCTTGAACAAGAAGGCTCTATGCACCAGCAGGACGTCCCAAACGAATTTCAACCAAAACAAGATAATTACCTGATCCCAGCTCCTGATTTATAAGGGCGTCCCAATGAAAAGAAAAGACTAAAGACAAAGGCACAGTCTGTAGAACCAGACATACGTTTGGCATCCTAGGATTTTGCCCAAGAAACTGATCCTTCGTATCTGAGCCCTGGATAAGCAAAACCCGTTTTACTTCAGAGCTGGATTTTTTGTTTTAATCCTCTGGGACCTTTGGACCCCAAATCTGGGCCCAAAGTCAGATGTAAGGGGTCTTGTTAATCAGGAGTTCGGACTGGTGAGCACATCCCTAGAGTCACCAGAGAACTACAGTCTTTGTGCCATCAGCTTATGGCAATTTGCTTCCAGAAGTCGTGGCCATCAGATGTTGCTATCTAATTTAAGCTTCATCATGGCCATAATCATCCCTCAAGATTTCAATGAGCCCGCGCACACTCCAAAGAACCAGGCAGCTGAAATCAGCCCAGGTGATTGCAAGCAACAGGCTCTACGTTGGTGCATTCGAGGCCTTCCAAGATATCGCTGCAGAAGCCTATGATGTGACATTCACCTTCGTCGACTCTCGGGATGCCAGGGTTTCCCAGGAGGTTCATGGGACCTTGTCGCTGATATTAGGGTTTCTGTTTCATCCCTGGAATAGCCACAACCGCCGCGGCTGGCCCGCCAGCAGCACGAGCAGCAACGGCAGCACCAAGCAGCACCAAGCAACGCCATGCAGCACCCAGCAACACTTGCGGCTGCACGCGCACCTGCTACGTTGCGTAATTGGTTTTTTATCTGCCAAGAGCCGCCACAACTAGCAGCCATGTTTGCACTCCTGCTTTCACTTATGGAGACTTTGCTACTGCCAACCTTACAGCAAGGACTTGGATGACTGGGTCGGAGTGGCTGCTGCCATCCTGCCAGAGACGCGGTTGCTTAGCTCCATCATATTTCTTTCCGTGCTTAGTTGGAAATGGAGGTACGGACCCCTACACCACGTGCTGTATGATCCTGATCAAAAGTCTTGAGAAGGCCTCTGGCGCGGATTTTTTCTTCTCAAGATTGATGAAATCTTTTGAAGTGTCTTCGGAGGCTCAGAATTCTTATTTGAGCTCAACTGAGTATGGAGGTGTGAGCCGATAATGAACAATGTATTTGAAAATAGCTTGGCCTTGGGGATTGAATGGGAGACGAGCCTGGGGCTTGGAACTGACACTGACGCGGCTTTGCGTTCTGAAGTGCACGGATTGCACATTTCCTTTGCGGAGCCAACAAATCGACATTGGCGACTGATGGTTGTTGGGTGCTGGTTCATGGACTTTGGAGGGTGGGGGGCTCAAGATTGGCTTTGGGGCTCGCTGTTTCCTATAATTACTCCTGATATATGCCTCATTGGTCCAGATCATCAAAATCCTAGACCCTTGATAACTTCATTTGCTGATTCCCAAGCAGTCTTTGCCTGCGTGCGAGTGTTGGAGAACAAGGCTGTTGTGGGTGGAGTCCGCGTCAAACCCCCTTGGACACCCTGCTGACATACCACGCCTCGCCCGACTATGCCGTGAGCATCGTGCGCAACACCCAGAGCAGCTTTTGAACCTGGGCTGGTTGAGCGTTGGTCAAAGTTCGCGTACCTAAGGACCTTGGGGTTGTGCCAGGGCATCACGGGGTTGGCAGAAGTCCCTCACCTTATTTCAATGAATAATGCTTGCATCTTCATCAAAATTTCAAGATGGCTGAAGGCTGAAGGGATTAAGCGGGCAGCCCCTCGTCAGCAAGAGACATGTACCCTCTGCATCAGGCATTTGGTGGTGGACAATACGTGGTGCGGGCCGTGCATGCTGCAGCCATTGATGCAGGCACAGGTAAACTGAGCCTCAAATCACCACAGTCGGGACAGTCTGCTTGGTGGGTCATCGGGGGTTTCCTGCTTTTCGCTGATTCTAGCTCTAAGGTTGCCAAGGCGTCTGCCCTAGGGGTCTGGCGGTTTAAGGGAAGCCGGGTGAGATGGCAGTTTCTCAAAAGCAGCAGTTGTTTTTTGGAGTATTCATAGTAAGGGCTATGCCTTTGAACTTTCAGCATCTCCCCCTCTCCTTCCATGGCATCCAGGGGGCCGACTTAGTCGTGGAGTCTCTGACCAAGACCATTGGTGGTCACTCCGACCTTATGATTCTTGGCCTTGCACTGCTACGGCACAGTCTACCAAACCCAACCATGACAACACGCCATTTCCCAATGGGGATGGATCCACACCTCAATGACTTGAAACAAGGCCCTTGAACATCAGGACAGCCAGGGGCTTAAGGTTTGAGGGGCACCGGCCGCCAAAATCACGGTTCATTGTTATGGGATCCATTCCTTCACGTGGAAATGCAGACTGCTCAGGGTTCGAAATCATCATCCTGCGGTTGATAGTAAACAGCTTGCCTGTAATGTACATGACACACGCAACGCACGATTTCCAAGGTTCGCATTTTATTTGTAGAAGTGTTTGGCCACTGCTTTCCCAAACGAGCCTCAATTTGTGGGTTGGACTACCAAATGAAAATGTTTAAGCGCGTCAAGGGCCCCGGAGCTACCATGAGAAGGACCACACAATTGCCAAGGATTGGTGCCGTCTGCACAAATGTCGTTCAGATGCATGATGAGCTGCTGGAGGCGCAGACAGGTCCAGAAACCAAAGCCTCAAGGGTGCCCGCCCCTCAGGGTTTTTCAGGGCGGGCCTACATACTCCGTGTTACATTACCATTGGGGATAGGTCTCCTTCCTGGCGATCTCAACCTGAGAGGGCTTCTTCTGAACTGAAGGCACCAATTCATTTCAAGACCCGTGTCCCGCACCCCAAGCCCAGCCCATAAAGACCTCCCACCATCTGGGGTTAGGGAGGCATGATGCAGGATCCTAAAATATAATTGAAGTTATTCCTTCACATGTGTTGGGATCATCATACAGGGTGCGCCTCAAATTGGAGACTTCATTAGCGGGGATGAAGATGGGTGCCTGGAGTAGGGCATCCAGCAAAGGTCCAGCAACTAGAGAACGGAACCTTCAAGCGCAAGTGCCGCAAGTACATTGATGCAACAAGATCAATGCGTGTTGTGCAGTGACGGGACATCTGGGCGTCTGATGAAGTTAGGTGTCCTTGAGGCCTATGTAGCAAGAAGCCCATTGTCTGGTGGCAGACATTGGGGTCTCTGAGTTTGAGAAGTTTCCATATGTTACTCTGAATCATGGGTAACATCTCAGCCGGAACCATGCTGGTACAAACCATGTTTTGGGAATGGTGGCTTAGCAAGCAAGACGTGCCGTTGTCCAGAGCTTGCAAACCATCAAATTGTATCATCTTCCACAAGCACCCCACACTTAAGATCCTCGTTCACGAGCCTACGAAGTCAAAGGGCCAAGCCCTCGAGTCTCACGTCGTATCGGGATATCGCATGAAGCCGGGGCGTAATCTGGGTCCCCGTTCCGGCTCCTCGGATTCTGGTTCGCGTTGATTCACGGGTCGCTACATGTCCTTCCCCTTTCAACCACCATTTAAGAGAATCGATTCATGCAATGACACCCTGAGTTGTCTCCGAGATTTTTATGTTCTTTTCAAATGCTTCAAGTTGGTCTGCAATCCAAACCCCGAGATTAGTTCTCAGCTACGCCCTACCTACAGGCCCGAGAAGGGTGTTGGAACTCATTTTGGCAGGGCGCAGGGGTAAATTTCAATGACCATATGAAGACGAGAAGGCCGGAAAACATGTTTTGAATGCGTCCTGTATGATGTAGCGAGAGCTTGCCTCGCAGACTCGCGGGCGACTTGGCAACGGCCCCGCACGGCTCGACTGCGATCTGGCAGTGAGTGCCTTGGATTGCCCAGTGAGCCTTCTTATTTCTATTCCATGATTGGATACGGTTCTACAATATGGTACCATCGTTCTATACGCGAAAGCCTATGAAATTCATGATGATTCCTTATGAGAGTAGCTGGGTTTCTAAGAAAAGCCACCTTTCAGTTTGGGGGCCCTAGGTCTTAGGTTCCTCACTACAGTCACTACATAGCAAAGAACCTGGTTCATTTTTTTCTTCTGGGATCCGAGGTAGCCTGCTCACCTACGACGTTTGGACGGCAGAAGGAGGGCAGAAGGAGGGCTTGCAGCTTCCGATTTGTACTAGTATGTTGACTGTCTATATACTACAGTTTGGTCAGACTGCAAGTACTGTCATTCATGGTGCTACCACCTGCTTAGCTTGCTTAAGATTTCAAGGTCTTGAAGGCTTCGGTTTTGAAGTTTTAGGCTTGACGGTTTGGGTAGGTGAGGAGTTTTTGCCTGAGAGGTTCAGGTAGGTCAGGGCTAAAGGTGACATAGGACATTGAGGGCTACGGGCTTATCGAGGGTGTGAGCAGACGCAGGGTTGCAGTTTAGGTCGTCGGTGCTGAGAAGATAACTGCAAGGGACGGGCGAATATGCACAGTGCGGAACCCAAGTTGACAAGCAGATTCAGAGGCAAGTCTCCATATGAGATCCCAACACTCAAGCTGGCAACACATATTCAACCGATCCGAAAACCATACCTGTTTCCTCGAGAAGTTAGGGGGACGGATATCTTATGATCATGTTCTCCTTTTGGCACCCAGCCGCTATTCAAGCCAGAAGTAGTGGAAGGCTTGGGGCTAGCAAGTGTCCTGCATCCTCCGTAGGATTGTGAGTTAAGCTAGTGTAGTTGCTCTTCAGTAAACTCATTAACATGCAGCCGGAAAAGGGGCTGTTTGTAGACTATTGTTCTTGGTCCTGGTGCGAGGTGCCTATGCGGTCTTCCATTCTTGTTTGTAGCGAAGGGTGCCGTAATCCGAGCCACATGCCCAGTCTGGATTCCATCACAACGCATAGAGGGATTTGAGTTACAGGGTTTAAACGGGTACATTGGGGAGCTCTTGCAGGAGCTGCTGATTAGAGTTGGACTTGTGGAGAAAACAGGCTTTCTTAATAACTCACGGTCCTGCCCTGAGATCCTCCAAGGAAGCGCGCATGGATGTCATGGTTGCCAATGCTCGAAGACTTGCAGCTGCGCTGGATGCCCATCCCAAGATCAGCAAAGTTCATGCTTCTGAGTTTCACTCGACGACCGGGATACTTGGCTTCTTTGAGAAGGTTTTCAGGTTTGAGCCTAAGTTCAAATTACACGTTGGACCGTTGGACTCAAGAAATCCTGAGCGCTTAGATGGTCCCTTCCACAGGACCAAGGGATGCCCCACCAACATGATCGCCTTCTATGTTGATGGCAAGAAGGCACAAGAGTTTAGATGCTGCATGGGATTTTCGCTTGGAATGGTAGCAGCGTCTCTCATTCGAATTCGCGGTTGAGCTGAAATCCCGCATCGCCCGTAAATGCAGTTGTTTTTAAGATGTATTGCGTCAACAGTTGCCTAGGTCCAGAGTAATTCTCAGCCTACACACTGCGCACAACCTTAAACTCGATACAGATTCTTATGGCAGGAGTGTTGAGGTATTCGGTCTCCATCATGAAGTAGGGTTCTTCTTGGGGTGTTTTGTGTGCAGATACCGCTTCCTAACGCGTACATTCGTTTAAAGGGCCTTTGCGGGTATCAAGAAATAGAGCTGCCCTATTAGTCCAAGGGTGTGAACTGAAAGCGATTCCTGTAAGGCGCATGATGTCGGCAGAAAACATGCTTGGCCGCCCTGGCAACTTTCGCGCATGCAATGCTGTGAATGCTGCGCCTGCCAGTGATTTTGTACGCAGATGAACTGAAAACACCACCGTCAACTACGCGATAAGGCCCCCCTCCTACTACTACTACTACTACTACTACTAGTACTAGTACTACTACTACTTCTACTTCTTCTACGACGACGACTACTACTACTACTACTACTACTACTACTTTTACGACTAATACTCTACAAGCAGAAACACACACGCAGCTGTTGTCATGTCAGTGAAGAACCCACACAACCCATGCATCCAATGTCTTGCTATTGAGACAATTGCAGATGAGGCCAAGAGATGAGCACCTGAGCCTGAACCCCAAGACCAGACAGAGGAATTAAAGGTACGAGGTGAGTACCCTGTACTAATGGGGCGATGATGGAACGCCCTTAGACTAATAGGGTGTATCCTGGACTAATGGGGCGATGATAATCAGAACTCCTCACACCCTTGGACCAGTGGCGCGTACCCTATACAAATGAGGCCATGATAAAATTAAATCAGAACTCCTCACACCCCTGGACAAATTAGGGTGTACCGACTAATGGGATCATGATCACATTAAATCAGAACTCCTCACACCCTTGGACTGATAGGGCGTACCCTGGACTAATGGGGCGATGATAAATTCAAATCAGAACTCCTCACCGTTGGACTAATAGAGTTTACCCTGGACTAATGGGGCGATGGTAAAATTAAATCAGAACTCTTCACACCCTTGGACTAGTGGGGTGTACCCTGGACTAGTGGGAACAGTAGATCCCCAAAAAAGTCACAGCCGTCCAATACAGAAAAAAAATGAAATGAGCGCCAAACCGCCATGAAACGTGCATTTTCAGGAAGCACGAACACCCCAGTACTAAGCCGCGTATGGCAGGATCTAACATCGGCAGATGTCGCAAAACAGCAAAGCCAATCCCCCCTGAAACGCGAAATGAGCGCGAAACAGCCATAAAATACACATCGTCAAGCAACACGAACACCCCAACACTAAGCCAGCCGCCCCTCTCCAGAAATCCTGCAATTAGCACGAAACCACCATAAAGCGCACGTGAAGTAAAGAAAAACGCACCGTCAAATACACGTTAATTTCTTAGTAGTAGTTGTTGTTGTGGTGGTGGTAGTAGTAGTAGCAGTAGTAGTGGTGGTGGTAGTAGTGGTAGTAGTGGTGGTGGCAGTAATGGTAGTACCCACGCATCCGATGATGGGTTAATCCGTCATGGGTTAACTTAACACGGTGTTTTTGCTGTGGCAATTTTTCATGTTTGCTGAGTTGCCCCAAGACGTCGCCTGGGTCAAAACACCTGTTTTGGCACACGGCGTTTTTTGGGGTTGCGTTTTGATGTGGGAACTCATTCTCATCCATTTTTGCGTTTTCGCCGTGGGAATTCTACCATTTTTATTAAGCCGCTGCATCCATTTTTGCATCCGGATAACGAAGATGTTAACATCCATGCTACCATTGTATCCATCTCTTGCATCCAGATAACCAAGATGCTGACATCCATGCTACCATGGCATCCGTTTTTTCCATCCTGATAACCAAGATGCTAAATCCATGTTGCCACTGCAAGCATTTCTTTGCATCCGGATAGCCAAGATGCCAAAATACTGGTTACCCCTGCATCCATGTCTTTGCATCTGGGCAGCTGCTCTCGACATGCTCGGATTGCGCCTGCAGCGACAGAATTATCTCATGGCGATGCCCTGTGCACGCTGCGGTGCTGCTTCTGCTTGCCATGGCTACGCCCTGGAACCCAGGCACGAGGCATCCTGGACCAGAAATGCTGCAATGTAAAACTATATACGGTTTTTGGCCCAGACGAATGCTCAAAGACCGTACAAACTTATCACGTTCCACCTTTCCATGGCAGGACAGTATTTCCTGCGCTTGGCAATGTTCACGAACAATTGCATCATGCCAAAAAACACACCGTCAGATATCCAGCGCGTGCGTCGTCGTGGTCGTCGTCCTCCTCGTCGTCCTCGTCGTCGTCGTCATCGTAGTAGTAGTAGTAGTAGTAGTACCACTGCGCAACACTGGGCGCCTGGTGTTTTCAGCGTTTTCGGCAGCAGCAACCACAGCCGCCGCACAGCCAGCAGCAACACAACTAATTAGAGTCGTACGTTGGAGGGGTTGGGGGGTGTGGGGGGGGGTGGGGGGGGGGGAAGGGTAGCGTCTCTGCAGCAGCAAGCACAGCCGCCGCAGAGCCAGCAGCAACACAATCACGTAGAGTTGTATGTTTGGGTGGGTGGGGCAGGAGAATGGTAGCGTCTTTGCAGCAGCAAGCACAGCCGCGGCAGAGCCAGCAGAAACACAATCACGTAGAGTTGTATGCTGCGGGGGGTAGAGAGGCCTAAAACCCAGAGGCGCAGAACCCTAAGGTCCCGAACCCTTCAAATCCTGCAAAGGCACAAGCCATCAAAGACTACAGCTCAAAATTTGATTCTTCGCTTCGTTGCTCATTCCATGGATGCATGCAGTAGCTGTTGTAGGATCCTTGATAAAGTCGGGCTTGGTGGTTACAATCGCACAGCAGACATGGTTTAAGACAGAAGGCAGAATTTCCATGGCTGCGGAGCGTCCGCGTGCATGGCTTTGCGCC